GCACATTACAACTTTGCTGGCTTAAACAAAAAAGGAATTCCTGAAGAAAGTGGCTTGGAGAATCAGGCTTGAGGCTGCATAGGAGAACGACACCCCAGTGATAATGCCCGGGGCTCTGCCGCTGACACTCCTGGTGCAGGAACCAAGCTGGCACCACCGACTCTGGGCACCTTTAAGATGCCTGCCCCTATAAAAACAACAACCGTGGTACCTATATACAGTGGAATATGACTTGGCCATAAAAAAAGAATGAAATCTTACCATTTGTGACACCATGGATGGACCTAGAGGGTATTGTGCTAAGTGAAACAAATCAGAGAAAGACAAGTACCATCTGATTTCACTTATATGTGGAATCTAAAGAACAATATAAACAAATAAGCAAAACAGAAACAGACTTATAGATACAGAGAACAGACTGACAGCTGTCAGAGGGGAGGGAGGATGGGGTGAAAAAGGTGAAGGGACTGAGAAGTACAGATCAGTGGTTACAGATTAGTCACAGGGATATAAGTACAACATAGGGAATATAGTCATTAATGTTGTAATAACTACGTATGGAGTCAGGAGCGTACTGGAAATATTGGGGGGATTGCTTTGTAAAGTATGTGATTGTCTCACCCCTATGCTGAACACCTGGAACTATTAAAAAATAATATAGAACGTAAACTGTAATTGAAAAATAATTTTACATTTCCATCTGAAAGGGCAGCTGCTCCTCAGCTCTGCAGAGTTCGACATGTGGGAAGGCAGCTCCAAAACTGCCGTGTCTTCTGGCTCTGTAGAAGAAGCCATGTGCCCAGATGTTTATGTGAAATACCCCGAACTTCAATCGCTGGCAACAGGTTCACCATAAAAAGAAAGGAGTCTACAAGCCAATTAAAATACTCAGCCTGTGGGTTGAATACTACCTTGGGCTGTTGGTTTGAATATAGAGACAAGAACCAAAGATGAAATCCACACACCCATTTTAAGAGTAGATACAAGTGCCCAGTAATTTCTCAAAGTGCAGGTCTCCCTAGTAAAGGCTGATAGGAAAATAATGCTGGCTCTGAAGCTAGTATAAAAGAATACTGAATGTCAATCATAGTGGAAAAATAAAGAAATCATGGCTATTAACTAAAACCAAATGAGAGTCTGCTATTACATTCTATTGCTCAAATCTAGACCTCCAGATCTTGCGCTGGGGAGGATGGGGACTGCAGAGTGAACTGGGAGGGCACTGAGCCACCCTGCTTGCTCCAAGGGCACCTGCGGTCATAGAAATGCATTAGCCAAGGAGCAGAGTGAGAGAGAGGCCGGGAGGGAGAGGGGAGGAGGGACAGAGGAAGAAAGAGGACAGGAGAGGAAGAGAGGGACAGGGTAGGAAAGAAATGGGATCTCCAGTCCCTTGTCAAGGCTGACTCCTTCTCCTTCTGGGATCCCTGGCCCTTCTGTTCCCAGTTGGAGCAATCTGGTTTCTGGTTGACATGGGCCATTTGATATTTTTGCTTGACTGACTCTTACCTAGGAAATTTGCTCCTATGAGAAGGTGTCAGTAAAGAAGAGAGAGGAAAACCATGACAGGAGGCCAGAAACCTTACCCTTTTCAACATTTTTTTTTCCTCCTCTAACTCATATGATTTTTTAGCCAAACCAAGGGCCAACCTACTGGCCTCCCTCTCGGGGGAAAGAGTGGCATCCTACTTCCATCATCAGGAAGTTGCTTCCCCAGCACTCACCACCGTCCCTCTATGAGTCTCCCTGGGGCCCACAGTGGGCAGCACCAAGTTCTGTTCAGAGCCTTAATAAAAATAACTCCAAAGTCATGCATTTCTATTTCCTAACATACATTGTCCAATTTACCCGAGGTTACACCAAATCATATAATGGGACCATGGCACTTTTGATAATTACGGGCTCCAATGATGGGCCATGCCTACAAAAATTAAAAGTAAAGAATGGAATTCCCTTTTCTCACTACATACGAAGAAGTTAAGGTCTAATGGGTATCGAGTCCCAATTTTCTACTGAGGAAAACTCCTTTCAGTGGAGGATGGAGGGTCTGTACCGGAAACCACTGCAGGGCCCAAGGTCCTAGCCCCCTGGTGGGCCGAATGCTGTTGTCTCCACTCTCTCCCGAGGACCATGCTTCCTGAGACCCCTTCCCAGTGTGGTTCTAGGGGCACGGGTGTCGATGAAAGCTCAGGCATTATCCTCGGGGGTGGGGTTCATTAGACATCCAGCCTCGCAGTCCTCTCCGTGAGCTCACTTGCTCGCTGCAGGACCATTTTTGGAATCTTCCTTACAGCTCTGGTTCCTCCACCTGTCCCAGGCTCTGGCTGGTGTCCTTGGTAACCGTGTCTCGAATCCTCTACTTGATGCTTCTAGGCTATCACCCCGCCAGCTCTCCTTCAGTGAAAGCCCCACTGTCCATTTTCAACCCCTTCTTCCTGTAACACCTGTAGTGTTTCTGATTGGTCCCTGCTAACACACTGGGCACACACAAACATCGTGTTCATGGAAGAGCCACTTATTTAAGCCACGCCAGCAAGCGGGAAGGAGACACTCACATTCAATTATTTCCTGACAACTGATTCCAACTAGAGGGATGAGTTAAGCAGTTGACTTTCCTTGTACAAAAGAAGCCAGCCCCTTCTTTTCTTTCTAGAATGTCTCTTATACCTGTGTGAGCCAGGTGTCAGTCCTCATCTCTCAACTGGGGCTGCCGCCATCTCCAAACACAATGTGTGGTCCTGGGAAGTGTCCTGCACGCCCGTGTGCTCTTAGCTGATTCCAGGCTGGCAGATGAGGCTGTATTGAGTTGTACAATTGAAACCTGTATGATTTAGGAATGAATGCCATCCAATAAATTCAATAAAAGAGATAAAAGGCTAAAAAGGGGGGGGGATTTCTATAGACTCTCATGAAGACAGTTATCTCCTTTTCCGATTGTGAGCCTGGATCTTCTGGGACCCTCTTCCACCTGATGTAAAGCCATAAAGCTGAGCAGAGCTGGGCTGAGAAGCTGGGGGAGAGAGAAGCAGATTCCTGATGACAATTTCTGAACTGAATCCAGTCCTGCCCCAAACCAACAGTCCCATACCCTTGGGCTTGGTTGCATCAGCCAATACGTCTTCTACCATTTTGCACAATTAAGCTCGTGTGAATTGGATTTTTATCATTTACAACTGGAGGTTCTATTACCATTTCCATTAATTTGATTGTCCGAGGAGTCTGCCTATTTCCTCACTAACATTTCTGCTGTGGGTCTCACTGGGAGCATTTCCTCTCCTATGTACCCGACGGCACCTCTACTGTGGCCACCTGAAGGTCTTTCCTATGCAATTTACTCTTTGGATCTACGGCCTTGCCTGAGGATGGCAAGCTACATGAAGAACACAGGTAATAACTTTCAGGTCAGTCATCCCTGTCTTTTTCTCTAAAAGACATTCTGTTGTGTCACTTTATCATCTTACAGAATCGCTAGTCAGAGTCGTTTTTTTTGCCTAGGACCGCTGCATTCAACCCAGCTGTTTAGGGTGTTACTGGGAAAGCCTCTACTCATGTTTACTCCTCCGGTATCTCCTTATTCATTGAAAAAGAGCTATAGTGTCGATTAAAATTAACTTCACAGTCCTCGAATTGCCTGCTTCTAGAGTTTGTCTATTTTTAATTTTTTAAAGGTTGGTGCCATTTCAAAGGTTCTAATATTCCAGGCCAGGAATATGCTTTTCTAAAATGTCCCTAGCTTTGGATTCATGAACACAACATGGAAATGATCCTTTAGATGAGGGCTTGGCAAATAACAACCCATGAGCCAAATCTGACTGGTCATGTATTTTTGTCAAGTCACTGGAACCCTGCCACACCCGTTGTATCGTCTGTGGACGATTCTGTAGCTGCTACAGAGACCATATAGCCACAAAGTCAAAAATATTTATCATTTGGCCCTTTACACAAAAAGTTTACTGATCTCTGCTCTAGATGAGTGCTTCTCAACCATTTCTTCTTTGTGGCACCTATTAAAAATGGCACCCTGAGATCAAGGAATGAACATCTTGACAAACCTTTGGGGCACACCACTCTAGACTACTTGGGATACCGCTGTCTCATAGCCTGATCTTCCTTTTGAGACCCCTGGGCATCAGTACATGATCGAAATCTAGGTTTTGTAGACCTGTGTTTAGTTTCCCATGTGGATTTCAACTTTGGCCAAGACCAAGGCCAAGGTTACTTCTCCTGTTCATGGGTGGCGGTCTGGGTGACCTCCTGACTCTCTATGCCACTGTGCTTGCGGCATCAGTCAACAGGTGGTTCTAAAACGAGACTTGTGAGACCAACAAGGATGTCCCCATCACTGATGGGGCCAATCTGTACCATTTGTGGCTCTAAACTAATCCGCACACTGTGCTAGCGCGGCAGTGTACGCCCGCACAGGAGGTCGGGGTCTGCTATTGGTTCTCACAGTTACCTCTCCCTGCCCCCAAACAGCACTGCAGTGGAAGCAGTTCATGCCCATCTTCTTCTTCTTCCTTTTTTAAAAATATATTTTATTGATTTTTTTACAGAGAGGAAGGGAGAGAGATAGTCAGAAACATCGATGAGAGAGAGAAACATCGATCAGCCACCTCCTGCACATCCCCTATTGGGGATGTGCCCGCAACCCAGGTACATGCCCTTGACCGGAATCGAACCTGGGACCTTTCAGTCCGCAGGCCGACGCTCTATCCACTGAGCCAAACCGGTTTCGGCGTTGCCCATCTTCTTAAGTGACATCCCGGGGCCCATGATACGAACTGGAATTCGTGATTTCACCTCTGCCTTCCAATCACACCAGCTGTGGAATCCTTAAACGCCCATCACATTTTGAGACCCGGCCAATAGACTCTTCCTTTTCCCGCCTTTCCTATGGCATCAATTCAATGCAGAAGTCATGACAGATGGGAGATGTCCGTTTTTTACATCGCCATAGAAGAGCGAGGTGGGTGAAGAAAGGTGAAGAACCATTCACACCAATAGAAAGAATGAAACTGCATGTTTATTTGAAAAGTATAAAATTAAAAAAAACAACAACACACAACCCTAGTCAAAAAAAAGGAGTACAACTGCACACAACCCTTCCAGTTTACATCAACTTTAAACATCACACACTATTAACCACTTAGTTGCATTTTTAAAAATTGTCGATGTCAAATTAGAGGGAGCGGAGTCCGGTGGTAAGCTAGCTATCACAGTGAAAGTATTTTAATGCGAAAATAAAAAAGGACTCATTGATCGCATTTGAGAAAAGAGAGCAGAGATGGTTCTCCAGTTGGCATCGATTTAGGCAACGTCTAAAAAAATATCCTGATCGGAATGAGTTAAAAAATATCGCGGGCCACTTGTTTTGTTATCTTGAGGGGGGAAAACCCTAAAACCCCTGCAGCTTTGGTGTCCTATTTACATATTTTTAAAAACATTCATTAAAAAAAAACAACAACCACAAATCTATAATAAAAATGTCCCTGTGGTTTTTTTTTTGTTTGTTTTTTAAAAAACATTTAATAAGCTCCCCTTATCTACTAACAGCATTTGTTCCCCTAAAATGCCTGGAAGCAGAATTGTACAGGAGATTAGTTCACTGCAAATTAATTAAAATTAAAATCCTTTGCTCTGAGCCACTTCCCGAGCACCAGGCAGAAGCAGGGGCCCATCAGAGGGAGAAATACAGCCATTCTCACCCGCAGGAGAGGCACCGTTCAGCCCGAGTCCCAACACACGCTGGCCACCATCCCAAGTCCTTGCTTTATGGGATTACTCGGGAAATAAAGTGTTATTTTAAAAATAAAAGATGCAAGCAACTGGGTTCCTTTCCTTTCCTTAAAAAAAGAAAAAAAACCGCCACGTGGTTAGCTTTTCTGTAACATCCTCTGGATTTGGTTAAGAAAAGAAGTCTGCAGGACAAGGATCATCGGATGCCCCTTCCTCCCCCCGCCGCAGGCTCCTTGTGAGTGAGCATCAGAGAGGCGGCCGAAAGCGTCCTGGGCTGTGGAAAGAGGCCCTGAGTGGATGGGAGCTGCCCAGCGTGACTCCGCCTGGTTCCAGTTTTATCCCATCAGCATCTTGCCAAGTAAGGCCTAGGCTTCTACCCATTACTTCCCCAGGGGGTGGGCCCTGTGGCGGGGCACAGAGCGAGAGGACAGCTAGCAGGAACACAGAGACCGGAACGGAGGGAGAAAGGCAGCCCTCGTCCAGCATCCTTCGAGGACTCCATAAATGACAATTCCAAGCGCTGCAGTGCACAAGCGCCTGGCACACGGGCCCGTCTGGAGTGACTTGTATCGGGGGATCAGCGGGACACAGGCCTGACCCCCGTCTGCATCTTTCTTTGGACCTCACTAAAGAAAACACAACAACAAAAAAGACAGCTGTCCTATACACATATAAATAGTCCCTTAACTAGAAGGGAAAAAAAACCCCAAACACACTGTTTCAAATGCATTTCTAAAAGATTAAAAAAAAAAAAAAAAAGTCCGAATGGCAAATCTTGACTCCAAATTGTCCACTGTCCGTGTCTCTCAGGGGAGAAACGATGGGATGTTTGAAGGGACCCAACTCTAACTGTAACCCTGACCCTACCTACATCGGCCAGGGCCTGGGGGCAGGGAGGGTGTGCAGCGCAGGGATCTGGGAGCTGGGGGTGGGAGGGTGGGGGGAGGTACTGAATATGGTTCTCACAGGGTTAGAAACCGCAGGGTCAAGTCCAAATACACAGGTAAGGTGACTGCTGAGTGTTAAGGGAACTTGGGGGGCTAGTGTCGAAGCTGCAGGAAGGGCGGCCAGCTGGGTGTGGTTCACAGGCACCAAGGGTCACTCCAGCGGGGTGCACATCGTGGGGCCACAGGCAGGTCACAGCTGGGAGGCTGCCGATCCAGGAGCCAGGGAAGGGGCCGTGGACACAGCAGGCCTCGCTCTCGCAGCCTGCCTCTCTGGAAGGCAGCTATGCTCACCACTATACCACCAATGCAACCTAGCAGCCTGCCTCTCTGGAGCTGAGAACCCGGGGAAACTCCCAGTGGGGACTTCCTGCCTGTTCTGGGATGAGGCTGACGATTCATGCGGCCAGACAAGCTCTCCAAACGGGGATTCTCAGGCAAAATGTTAAAGCCAGAATCTCTCCAGAGAGGGCAGGTTCAGGGTCATTCACAACCTCTAGGTGACACGGCCGATTACCGAAGGGCGTACCTCGTGTCAAACGTGTTCTCTGGCCGCTGCCTCCGCTGAACGGAGGGGAATGCGTAGGACAGTGCGAGGCTGGGTGCTCGCCTGGCCTCCCTGCAGGGCGGCCATCCCATGGCGGCCTCCTGGTGGGTGGGCCCTGTGGCTGGCGGGGCACAGAGACAGAGGACAGCTAGCAGGAACACAGAGACCCTAACCGAGGGAGAAAGGCACCCGGACCCCCAAACAGCTATCAGACGGCAGCCCACAGGGCATGTGGCCCGGTGCCTGCCCTTCTGCACGTCCGACACGTCACAGAAACTGCTCAGGCGTTCCCTAAACCCGCGTGATCCTGTCCCCTCCTCGGCCAGGTGACAGCGTAACAGAAGAATGACGTGGAGAGTGAGTGTGACCCTGGGCCGAGTAGAAGAATCACCTCCCAGGACAGACGTCCACACACATCGTGCCAATGGAGGGGCCAGGAAAACGACAGGCCACCCACCAGAGGACCTCCTTGAAATCTGGGGCAGGAGGGGAATGGAGAGACAGCTGACACCCCAGATCAGTCCCTGAGGCACCCCGGCTCCCCCTGAGGGCAGGTTGTTAGGATGGTAACAAGTCAGAGCGGATGAACCCGTGTGGACTTTGGAATAGCTGGATTTTACACTTCTTCGGTGCCCTGGCTGGGCACAGAGTCCCTGGGCTCGGTGGTGCCCTCCGGAGGGTCGGGCTGCCCCGGGCTGGAGGCTGTGTCTTCCACGCTCAGGACGCTGCTGGCTGCCCGGGAGCTGGCGCTGTCGGCACTCCCCGACCGGGAGCGGTAAGGTGGCAGGTCGGCCTGGTTCAGTGACTCGGTGTCGGAAGAGTAGGGTGGCGGAGGGAGGTCATACCACGCGGGTCTGCAGCGGAGAAGGCAGGGTGGGGCGGGGGAGGCAGGGGAGAGGAGAAGAAAGAGAAGCATTAGGAGGAGCCAGGGCAGGGCTGACTTCTGCCTGTTTCTGAGTGGATGCTGATGTGAGGGAGGAGGCTGGCCCTCCAAGCAGAGAGGCCGTCCAAGGCGGTGTGCAATAAGATGGAATGGAGCAGGTCAGTGCGCTCCGGCTGGCTTGTGCCAACTGGGCTGGGCCTGATCACACTCTCTGGTGGAGCCAGAGCGAGGATGCCAAGTGATTTGGCAGAGCGGCTTTGCTCCATCAGCGGGGGTCCCGTGGGCAAGCCGCTGACCTGGTGTTTGATGGAGCCTCAGAATTCGGGTTCTTACTGAAGCCCACCTGTGAGGACTTGGGTAAGTGAGAGGACATCTTCCCAACACCTCTGTCTCTGTAGAAGGGACAATAACGGCATCTTGCTCCCAGAGAAATAAGAGGAAAGACACTTGGCTTTCCAGCTCTCACTTACTGAGAGTTCACCGTGAGTGGGGCCCACGCCCGTACCTCACGCTCATTCCTTTAGTAAGGATCACAAGAACGAAGGGGTAGGTGTTACTTTATGCCCCAGTCATAGGGAGGAAACTGAGGCGGGGGCACTGAATGGCTTGCAGAGGATCACCAATAACTTGTAAGCGCAGGGCTGGGATCTGGGCCCAGGCGCTGTCTCCGTTTCCGTGACGCTAACCTTACTCTACATGGGAAGGTCGGATGCAGGGGCTATGGGGGTGGGTGACATCCTGAACACTTATGCTTACTTTCCAAGAAATCCGTAAGTACCGCCCCCTGAAGCTACCTTTTATGAGGAGGGAAAAATAGATTAAATAATACAAGAGCTGCCAGTGAAGAGGACCCCATCACCCCAGGAACAGGGGGTGCAAAATGTTCATGCCACACGGTGCCTGTGGACTCAGAGAAAGGGGGACGCTGAGCAGAGCTCGGCAGGGGGACACGGCAACCTCAGAACCGCGGGGACCCCGGGACTTCCAGAACGGCGGTTGGGGACACCCTGGAGGTCCCCAAAGGAGGGAGGCAGGCCGGGCAGGCAGGACTCACCCACGTCAACCCCAGAGCTCTGCTTTCTGACCTCAATACTGACTCCTGAGGGTTCCACTGCTTAACACAGCTGGAGGATGCTGCTCCATCCCCTTTATTCTACACACACAGCCCAGCCAAGTCAAGGGACTTAGTAATTCACTCCCTCCTTCATTCATTCATCCATCCCAGAAGGATTAACCAAGCCTCTGACAGGCACTGTTCTGTGGTAGCAGCGGAGGCCCCAGAGCGTGAAAGGCGGCCAGCAGCCTGAAGGTGTCAGTGTGGCATTCCCGAGTAGGCCAGGATCCTAACAGTATGTCCTTCACAAGTGTCCGAAGTCCAAGAGCCTCAGCTTCCTCACTTGTGAAATCGAGGCGGACACAGAGCCACCCCCAGCAAGTCCCTGAGAGGATTAACTGAGATGACACAAGTGAACTGCCCAGCAAGGACTCAGGAGATGTCAGACGCTGCTGTGCCGACAGCACCCAAAATCAGGCTCTTGGCAAGACTGGGAACCCAGGCTGCCACCATTCTGCTCCCCCATCGGATGAGCTCCCAGCTGCCCCCCCCCCCCCCGCCCCGGCCCCCCACCCCGTCTCCTCCAGCCAGCACGCACCTCTGGTCCAGCAGGGCCTCCGAGTAGGAGGGCGGGGAGCCCACTTCCGAGGCGTTCTGCTCGGCCTGGCTGGCCACGTACTGGATGCCGTTGTTGACGTTGTAGGTGACGTTGCAGTGGTGCGGGTGGTCCAGCACCACGAGGCGGGACAGCAGCACGGGGTGCTGCAGCCGGTGCACCGGCAGCGTCATGAGGTTGTTCCGCTTGCGCTGGTGGTGCAGGACCAGCGCCAGCAGGGCCACCACCAGCACGAAGATGACGGAGCTGCCGATGATGGCGTAGGTGATGCTGGGGTAGTACACCAGCTGGTTCTCCGACGTCACAAACACCTGCCCGCTGCCCGGTTCTGAGAAAGCCCCGAGGGGAGAGAAAAGGAGGAGGTTACCGATTCAGCTCACCCCTCGCGTTGTAGTCGGTCCCAGGACCTGCGTGCAAATGTTTGTGGCAGCACGACTGACAACAGCCGTGAAGTGGAAACCACCGACGTGTCTATCGACCAGCGAATGGATAAACAGAACGTGGTATGGCCACACAATGGAATGTTACTCGGCCAGGAAAAGGAACGAAGTACCGACACATGTTACAACATGGATGAACCTCAAAAACATTATGCGAAGCAAAATAAGCCAGACACAGGGCCACAGGTTGTATAATTCCATTTACATGAAGTGTCCAGGAAAGGCAAATTTATAGACAGAAAGTAGAATGGTTGCCTGGGGAGGCCGGGGGTGGGGGGGGAGCACCAGAGATTAACTGGTAATGAGTATGAGGGAAATGTTGAATATGGTGATGGCTGTACAAATCGGTAAATTTACTAAAACTCATTGAATGACACACTTAAAATGGGAAAATTTTCTGTTATGTAAGTTATACCTCAATAAAGTTGCTTTAAAAAATAATTAGCGCCAGGAACTACAATATCCAGGGAACAGGAGTAGTTCCTGCGGCAGAAATCAGTTTTTCCATGGAAATTTATTTATTTATTATTATTTTTTAAAATATAATTTTACTGATTTCTGGGAGGGAGAAAGAGATAGAAACATCAATGATGAGAGAGAATCATCGATCAGTTACTTGCTGCACACTGGGGACTGAGCCCACAACCCGGGCATGTGTCCTGACCGGGAATTGAATTGTGACCTCCTGGTTCATAGGTCAACGCTCAACCACTGAGCCACACTTGCTGGGCTTTCTGGAATACTCTCCATCCCCATATCTCCAACTTTCAGTCTGTTCTCGTGGGCACTGTATTTGGTACAGCATCTATTGTTCTTTGTGCACCTGCTTGCAATGAATACCACGCCAGGTCCTGCGTACACTTTCTTAGGACATGTATGCACATAAAACGTTTGCTTTTTGGTCCTGAGTAAGGATCTTCTCATCATCATCATGACACTACCAACACCACTGCTTCTGCCGCTGCTGCTGCTGCTTGTGACCCGTAACTGCGTTCTACTGACAAAGTGAAAGGGGAGAACATAAGCAGGACAAGCAGAGGCCAACATTGCTCTCTTCAGACCCAACGGCCACCACCAGGTCCCCCAGGAAACGGGTGCAAAATTCTGGGAAATTGTAATATAACGTACATGTAACATAACAAGGAACACTGGTGGGATGTCTGGGTTCTTCCGTGTGCAGAGTGCTTACTTTATGCCAGGCCCCATGCCAAGCTTTCAAGAGAGAGAACCAGCACAGCACAGGCCAACATCATGGCAGACTAGGTCCCAATCCCAGCCCCTCAGCTTACTGGCTGTGTGCCCCTGTGGAAAGAGGTCAACCTCTCTGTGCAGCACTGCCCCTTCTGTACAAGGGGGAGAATGACAGTCCCCAGCTCACTGGGCTGTGGTGAGCATAAAATGAATGAAGAGCCACAACTACCCACGGCTGCGGCCCAGTTGGAAGAATCATCTAAACAGTCCAGGTGAGCAAACCTGGTGACCACACCCTGTGCTCTTCCCACCGGGGAAGCGGTGAGGAGGTGTCGATGGGCCTGCAGGGGCCAAAATGTAGATGACATGTAACAGCAGCAGCAGCGACCCCTACCCCTGCTTCGAGGGATGGTGTCCTGGCGCTGGGCTACACTTTACTACATCCCTCATCACTCAAGGTGTGCCTGTTCTGTTCACCACTGTATCCCCACTGTGTGCCTGGCACATAGTAGGTACTAATAAATGCAGACAACTTAATGAAAAAAAAATCTGTGTCTTCACATACGCTGGTAAGGCAGGTGCTTTTATTGTTTTACTAGAGGCCCGATGCACAAAATTGATGCAAGAATAGGCCTTTGTTCCCCCGGCTGCTGGCACCAGTTCCCTCCGGCACCTGGAACCTGGGTTTTCCTCCAGCACCCGGGACCTGGGCTTCCTTCTGGCTGCCAGCAGGCACCCAGGACCTGGGCTTCCCTCACAGCCCCGGCTTCGTCCAGAAGGACGTCCGGTCTAATTAGCATATTGTGCTTTTATTATTATAGACGATTCCTATTTTTAAGCTGAGGAAATCAACAGAGAGAGGTGAATTAACTTGTCTAACATCACACAAGGAATAGAGGGGTCAGCATCAGAACCCAGATATTCCTCCTTCAAAAATCCACATGCTGTGAAACACATCATCTTCCGTCCTCATCTCAATATTTCCAGATTCCCCCGAATAATCCTACTCTGACACAGATCTTCCCCCGTAAGCTCTGGGCTTTGTGTTAATTTTCTTTCCAGCTACGCTCAAACATGAATGGAAGCTACCACGTTCCCGTGGGTCATTGTTTCAATGATCAACTGTACAGACAGAAGCAAATAAAGCCCCAGACGAAAGGCAGAAGCATGCCCCAGACAGTTACAGGATGGCGGCCACGCCGGGAGCCTCTGGAGACCATCAGCTGTCACTGATGGCGCCCTGTCTGTTCTCAGCTAGGTCCTCAGACGCTGGATGGGGGCCGTGTGTGCGTGTGTGTGTGCGTGTGTGTGTGCGTGTGTGTGAGAACTCAGACGTAAAATAAAACGGCCTCTTCACTTTTGTTGTCTGCAGCACAGAGCGGAGGGGTTGCATCCAGGGCCGTCGCTTCTGGGTGTTCTCAAGCACGTTGCTGGACTTTTATGAGCCTCAGATGCCTTATCTTTAAAACGGGGTGGCTCTGTGTAAGCAACAGCAGCATCTCCTTCGGTTACCGAGAGGATAAAGCACACCGCACTGTACCCACAGAGAACAGAGCCAAGTGCCAGGGAGGTCTGCACTCAATTAACGCTGGTTCTCTTTTCTTTTTAAATATTTTTTCAATTGATTTCAGAGAGGAAGGGAGAGAGAGAGACAGAAACATCAGTGATGACAGAGAATCACTGATCGGCTGCCTCTTGCGCGCCCCCTACTGGGGATCGAGCCTGTAACCTGGACATGTGCCCTGACTGGGAATCAAACTGTAACCTCCTGGTTCATAGGTTGATGCTCAACCACTGAGCCATGCCGGCCGAGCCTTTTATGTTTTTTATTGTGAAAAAAAAAGAGACATATCTATCACATAAAATGTACCATGTAACCATTTTTAACTGTACAGTTCAGTGGCCTTACGTACATTCACACTGTGGTGCGCACATCACCCCCCCCCCCCCCCCCCCGCCCAGACGTCTCACCATCCCAAACGAGCCCATGCTAACTCTCAGGGTCCACAAGCCTCCATCATCCTCATCCGCTTCCCGGACCAGACACGGAGGCCGGAAGGGGCTGCCTTTGGGGGTAAAGTGGAGGACAGCATAAGGAGGGAGTAATTTCCTATCCAGGGAGATATGTTTCTTAAAAAAGAGGAAAGGGGCTGGATTTTCACACGGAAAACAAATGGGTCCAGATTTGAAACTGTGACTTCTGTGTGACCACATGTGGTTTTAAGAACGAGAGAGAGAGAGAGAGAGAGAGAGAGAGAGAGAGAGAGAGAGAGAGATCCTTCAAACGAACGGAATGCAGAACGCTGTGGATCTTAAGGGTCTCACTGACGTCTCCCAAAGCAGGCCCTCGCAGACCTGCCCGCAGCGGCAGGCGAGAGGCGGCAATCCCACTCGCTGGAGAAACGCTGAGGCTGCGAACTCGGTGGTGCCTGGTCTCCTTTGCTCCGTGTGTAAATGTCAGCTTGTATTAGTTCACTGACTAGACTCACTTTTCTTAAGAGCTCAATGAGCCCGCGGGCTAAATGACTAACATCAGAGCCGCCTGGGACCCGCGTGCCAAGCCCACGGATAACGGAGCTTCCATTTATTCTGCTGTCCCTCCAGCCGGTGCCCTGGTGCTCCACTGTCAAACAGCCTGCGCTCCTGTCCTGTGTCGGCCAGGCCTGCTGCGCTCCTTCCGGCCATCTGGGTCCCTGACCCAGGACCACTGCGCTCTCGGAGCAGCCGCTGGCTCCCGGGGCCGCCTGTGTGAGCCGGTGGGTCCCGCGGGCACAGCCAGGGCGCTCGTCCCTCGGACCAGCACAGGCTCATGCAGTTTTCACAGCAGCTTTCTAGCAGCCAACCCCACAGGAACCTGCAGACTTGACCCGGCTCTGGCCCCGCCTACAACCTTTCCAGAACTTTCTACCTCAAGGGTGAGGGACCAGCTCCGCATGATGCTCAGCTCGTCCCACTTGGTTCCCTTCATCTCTGCCTCCCTCTCCCCCTGCCCTGTGCTGGCCTCGTGGATCAGAAATAGGGACTCAGGTTCCTCCCACACACACAACTTCCCTCCCGGTGCCTCTGGCCAGTAAAACATGGGCCCCACAGCTTCCGGGTATAAAGACTTGAATGAAGGGGCCGTGGGGAGCTTTCCCGCCTCAGACCTGATCGGGAAGATGTGGCGTTTAGAATCAGATGAGGCCCGATAGGAGCTGAGCCCTTTGGGGGGGGGCACATGGCCACTGCCGATCTGTGGCCTCGCAGACAGGAAGCTGGGGGGACAAATACTCTGACCTTTCTCCCTGTCTGCCCTCCAGCCTCCTGCTGCTGCTTCCTACTGACCAGAGCCACCGGGAGCCAGACGGTAGGAGGCCCTGTGGAGAGCCGTTGGAGTTCCTGCAGGGAGGAGACTGGCTGCAGATGACGGGTCGAGAGCATCCCTGCTCCCTGCCTTGATCTTCACGGGGTCCGGCCCTCTCAGCCGGGCCAGTCCTACCTCCTCCCAGCCTTCGCGCAGATGCTACCACCCTCCTGAAGCCGTCCACTGTCCCTCTGCGGCAATGGGAAGGCTCCTCTCTGTGCTCCCCACACACGCTGCCCCTCCCCCTGCCTCACCCCCAATAGCATCTCACCTGGTGCCACATCTGACAACATGCTGGAGGCAAGGTGGCTTAGGAGGTGGCTCCCGTGGTACAGGAGCAACAGGCTGTTCCTCCGGCCCAAGGCTGACCAGCCCTGCACGCCTACTGACCAGGACCCCACACGGGAAGCCCTTCCTTCCGTCGGGCACTCGTGCCCACTGCGCCCCGATGTGGGAATAAACAAAACCAACCAGAGGAGCAAAGCAACGGTGACCGCTTCAGAGCCTGTGCCGCAAGGGAGTCGCTGCCGCCACTTGTGTCTGGGAGAGACTCAAAGGCAGGCCCAGGAGCAGGGCGGCCCAGGAGCAGTGGGGAGAGGGTGGCGTCAGGGTGTCCTGCCTGGGGCTGCCTGCAGGGGGAGCCGGAGGAGGCTAAGCGGGGGCCTATGTGATGGGTTAAGGCAGTGGCCCGCAAACCGTGGCTCGGCAAACAGCGGCTCTCGAGCCACATGCGGCTCTTTGGCCCCTTGAGTGTGGCTCTTCCACAAAATACCGACTTCTGCGCGTGGGCCACGAAGTTTCAATTGCACTGTACGTGCGCGCCCGCACGTGGTATTTTGTGGAAGAGCCACACTCAAGGGGCCAAAGAGCCGCATGTGGCTCGCGAGCCGCGGTTTGCCGACCACGGGTTAGGGGAGCATAGTTAGCTTTCTCTGCTCAGTGCTCAGCTGGAAATGGGGGTGAACACTAGGGAAGCTGCCAGGCATTAATCCAGCCTCAGCTGTTTTGGGCCCATGGTTAAGGGGTGAGCGTTTGGCTCCCAGGCTGGCTGCTGTAGGTGGAGTGTTCTGTTCCTATACACTCGCCAGTGTCTGTCTGTACACGGTGTCTCTCACTGACCATCCCACCCATGTCCCCAGGTGTGGCCCAGACCCTCCTGCTCCAGCCCCTGTGACACCCTTGAGCAAGTCTAATGCTCGGCTTCCTCATCGACAAAGTAAGGGCAATACACACCACCTTGCAGAGTCGCTGTGAGGCTCAGAGCTGATGCAGGCGGCGTCCCTGTCAGGGAGTGGTGGGTCGGCAGAAGCGGCACGAACAGTTCTGGGCCTGTATGTGCACATGGGAAAGACGCAAGTAGGACGAGGACAAGTCTATCCATTCACGGAGAGGCAGCGTGCATGGTGGTCAGCCTGTGCTTGGAGTCTGACCGTCTGAGAGCACATTCTTTTATCCACTTAACCAAGTCCCGATCACGGATCATGCCCTGAGCTCAGTGCTGGGGATTCTGGAACCAAAACAGCAGAAGGTCACGCGTGGGAGAGGTCCTGGGCCCGCTTCTCCCCAGCGTGCCCCCGGGGTTACCCGCAGCCGCCTGCAGCCAGTCACGGGAGCGCCCTGGCCAATGTAAACCAAGGGCACCCCACACCCACCCTGTGGGGCTGCAGTGCCTTTGGGGATCCCGTTTCCAAGCTCATCTCCTGTCCCAATTTAGATGCAGATTGAAAACGTTTAATTTAAAGGGCAGACCAACACATGACTGAATCAAAAGAGAACCATGAAATCCCCACTGATCCATTTCCATGGCAACTCAAGTTTCTAAAATTAACCAAAGGGAGGGTGATGGGAAAATCCACGAGGCCAGGCCGCCCAGTGTCGGCCGGACCACAGCAAGAGCCATCCTAGCCTGAACCCGAGGGAACCAGAGAGGGACCCACCTGCCCGGAGGGAACTGAGGCTCCAGGACCACCCAGAAGCAGGAGAAAAGCGCCACACAATGAAATTCCAAGTGAGAGAGATGAGTAAGAGATGAGAATGCTCTGGGGCGGAAGGTGGAGGGAGGCAGACACCTCCCTGGGAATTCTCAGTTGCCCTTATTAGAAAAGACCAAGGGTTTCTGGTCCTTCCCACCCTTCCCCATGCCCGCCCTTGGGTCAAGGAGGCAAGGAAGCATCCCTGAAAGACCCTGCATTTTCTTTTAAAAAATATTTTTATTGATTTCAGAGAGGAAGGGAGAGGGAGAGAGAGATAGAGACATCAATGATGAGAGAAAACCATTGATCGGCTGCCTCCTGCACGCCCCACACTGGGGATCGAGCTCGAAACCTGGGCATGTGCCCGGACCGGGAATCCAACCGTGACCTCCTGCTTCATGGTCAATGCTCAACCACTGAGCCACACGGGCCAGGTGACCCTGCATTTTCAACAAGTGCTACCGAGACAGCTGCTACCCGGGGCCCCTAATGGACAGCGAGGAGGCGAGCATGTTGGTGTGGAGGAGGCCCCTGCGATCCCAGCGCCCTCTGAGGCTGCGGAGACCTGCTGTGCCCTCAGAGCCGGAGCTCAGCCTCTGACCCTCTCAGAGGAGGAAAGTTGCCAATGACAAGCCAGGGAGTGGGTGGTGAATGGCCTCCTGGCTAAGAAACAGGCCCAGGCGGTTACAGAACTGGCTGGAGGATAAGAGACGGAATTGGCTATCTAAGGTAGAAAAGGGCATTATTAATTAGGGATTCAGACAGCCCGCAAAGCTCAGTGATGAGGGAGATTGGGAGCTGGGGCCCCGGTGGCCTTTTCAGAACTCTGCTGGGTTGTGTGATGGCCTAAAAAAGGTTAATGGGAGAGTGCAGGAGGGGGAGCGAAGTTCTCTGCTGCCATTTCTTCTGCGGACACAGAACGCCACAGCCAAAGAGCGCAGGCGGGGAGGGGGTGCACCTCGGGAATGAGCTCAAGCACTGGGACCCATGCTCTATTCATTCCGGCCATCGACGCAGGGGTCTCCACGCACCTCTTTCCCGAGCACACAGTGCTCACCGACCCAGGCTCCTGCACATGACATTCTGGACTGTTCCTGCCGGCAACGGATAAAATGGAGACACGTGCCTCCTGGAATTTGCTGAATAAGGAGGGCTGGACAGATTGCTATTTCTATTGCTTACTGTGCCTATTTACCTGTAGTGTGTGGTGGAAACGGCAAAATTAAATGCTTAGCAGACATTCTTTGAACTCGAGGGTCAGTTGGTTTCTGGCCCAGTAATAAGGCTTGGCGAGTTATAATGCAGTGGCTTATTGGGCCTGCAGTGTCAGCAGCGGCGCAAACACTGCTAACTCAAGGGGGATGCAGGGAACGGCGATGCTTCCTGAACCTGTGAGTGCCGTATACTCATACACAACAGCACTGCAGGGAAAAGCTGACCCTAAGAACCGGGGAGGGGAGAAGACTCCCCCAGGCGTACCACTGTCACTGCAAATACAGTTTCATTTGTGGGGCTGAGAAAGCATCAATTACGACCCCACAGGCACCCAGCCACCCTGGGGGATGGGAAATCCCTGCATCAGCCCCGTCCCTGCCTTTCTTTTCCATTCATGTCCAACCCTTTCCCATTCACAGCCAACTCATGTCCAGGGGCTGGGCCTGCTAATTCTGCTTTCAATTCTTGGGACAAGTTACCATCATTTGCTACAGAGATGACCACAGGCAATTCCTAGCTGCTCTCCCAATTTCCAATCTTGCCCCCCCTCCAACCCATTTTCCGCATGACATCCAGGAAACTCTTTGAGAGGTAAATACAATGACTGCTCATTGTACTATAACCCAACCTCCTAACAAAGGCCTAGAGCAGTGACGGCGAACCTTTTGAGCTCGGCGTGTCAGCATTTTGAAAAACCCTAACTTAACTCTGGTGCCATGTCACATATAGAAATTTTTTGATATTTGCAACCATAGTAAAACAAAGACTTATGTTTTTGATATTTATTTTATGTATTTAAATGCCATTTAACAAAGAAAAATCAACCAAAAAAATGAGTTCACGTGTCACCTCTGACACGCGTGTCATAGGTTCACCATCACTAGCCTAGAGAGAACGCTTGATCTGGCCCTTTACTGTTTTCAACCTGGTTTTGAGCCACCTGTCTTCTAGCACCCTATGCTCTAGCCCAGGGGCCAGTGAAGTCTGGCCCTCTGCCTGTTTTTATAAATAAAGTTTTATTGGAACACAGGTGTGGCTGTTTATTTGTGCAGGGTCCATATTGCGTGGTTTTCATGCAATATGGCTGAGTTGCTTAGCTCTGACATGAGACCGTAGGGCTCAAACCCTAAAATACTGACTGTCTGGCCCACACTGGTCTAAGTTTGATTCCTAGAGCAGATACTGGAATGAGCAATGAGCTAAGAGGTACACTAGCTGCTGTTATGCAGTGTACAGTCTTTGGGAAATTACTTGAATACACAAAATGTGGCAATCATGGCAAGCAGACAATAACTGCCACAGAGGAAATGGCGAAATGAAGAAGTTGAGGAAGAAACCAAGGACACCCTCCCTGACCAGGCTTCCACTGGCTTTTGTTTTTTGTTGTTTGTAAAAGTGAGCAAATGAAATGTTCCCACAGGAAATGGCGAACTTGGTCTTCATCTTGGGTATGAAATACCTTCCCGGCTGGCTGAGGTGGCTCAGTGGTTGAGTGTCAACCTATGAACCAGGAGGTCACAGTTCAATTCCTGGGCAGGGCATATGCCTGGGTTGCGGGCTCAACCCCCTATCTTGCAGGAGGAGCCGATGAAGGATTCTCCCTCATCACTGATGTTTTCTCTCTCTCTCCCCCTTTCCCGTCATCTCTGAAATCTATATATATATATATATATATATATATATTTTTTTTTTTTAAAAACACACAAAGAAATACCTTCGTGATTAAAAATCCACCTGCTCTCTGCCAGCACCACCTTCCTGGGTGGCTGGGCAATGCTGCCTGCCTGTGGATCCAGCCGTGAGAGGTGCCTGGGTGTCGCATATTTGTGCTCCCGGACATGAAGGCTTGGTAGAGGTTTTAATGTTCTCCAGGACAAGGTCCGGTCCTGGGGCTCCATGCCAACACCTGGAGCCTCCTGGGCAGTGGTCACTGAAGCTGGCTGTTCTATAGCAGATGAATAACTACAGGGCCAGGGGCAGCGGAGGATTCAAGGTTACCTGCTTGATTCTTTAAAGAGGAAAAAAACACCAACTATCCTATCCCCAGGGACGTTTCAGAATCCATGTATCCCTGTCAAAAGCTCCCCAGACAACAGTAAGAGGCCAGAGAACTCGGGCCAGAATTTGTAAACGTTAATGGGGCTGCGTTAACACAAGCAGGTGAAGAACTAAGCCTTCTGTCACCGGCCGAGGGCCAAAGCTGGCCTCGGAGGAAGAGGAATGAGAGGAAGGATGATCTACAGCAACATCTCGGAGGAAGAGGAAGGATCTACAGGTGTGCTGTAGATCGCCTCAGAGAAAGAGGAATGACCCCCCCCCCCCCCCTTCCCATGGATGGACGTGATACAAAGATCCTGTGAAGGGCCAACAGCAGAGAACTCTTGCTTAGGCATTAACCATTTACTGACATCTACTGAGGGCCAGCCAGGGGCCAGGAGATCTGGGTGACTATCCGGGGCAGGAGTTACTGGGGATGGGCAGGGAACCCCAGGAGCCTCAAAGCTCCCCTGGCTGCTGAGGTTTTTTAAAACTTACTTTTTGAATAGGCAACATCTGCATGGCTCAAACTCAAAGGGTAAGAAAGGATTAGCAGAAGAACTAGGTCTGTTTCCCATATCCGCCTTCTAGCCACCACATTCCTCTCCCCAGAGGCAACTACGGGCACCAGTTTCTGTTCTTAGGAAATAGTCCAGACAGACATTAGCAAATATCCAGGATTTTTAAGACACATGGCAATTAAAATTTTTTTTTTTCACTTAATAAGCCACACAAAGACATACATTTTTCTAAACCAAGTGTCATTTTGCCTATTTTAATAAATACCGATACTTTATGTACTTTATGCTAGGCTCTCCTTTTTAAAAATTATTTAACTTTTTATTTTGAGATAAGTTTAGGGTTGAAAAAATAGTGCAAGAGTTCCCACATAGCCCACACCCAGCATTAACACCTTCCCTAACCACAGGACTGTCAAAAGTAAGAATTAACCTTGAAACAATTGTATTAATTGCCTTGTAGAATTTATTAGGATTTTGCCAGTTTTCCCACTGATGGTCTTTTTTCTGTTCTAGTATCCAGTCCAGGATCCCCCCATCGGTGACAGAGTCTCAGTCTTTCCTTGTCTTCCCGGACCTTGACACT